GTGGAGGAATATAGAAATTGATGAAAGATTTTAAAATACAATTTTTTACCTGAAAGCATTTGCCAACATTCCTAAACTTTGCCAGCATTACAGAGAGACCATCTTATTTTTGTCTTTTGGTGGCCAGACAAGGAGTGGCAGTGGGCTGAGAGTACAGGAGAAACAAAGACAACGAAGAGTGATCTGATTTTTAAAGAATATTAACCAATAATCACATATCAACAGGTTTTAAAGTATCTACTAAAAATAGTCTTTGGAGATACCTTAACATGACACATCCTACTAATGAAGTTTCCATRTTTAATATTTGTGCATCCTGTTAGCATCTAATCTGATGCTGTTTACTTTCCACCTTTGAATCTAGTTTCTGGATTTTATCTGCGTGATGAGTATCAAGGGTAGATGGTGCTATCTAAAAAGTTTCTGAACATTTTCAAATCCTTTCTTTTTGTGTATCATACTGAGGTTCTAGGGAGGAAATAAAAACTTCCTGGATAAAATAGGATGGTCACACAGTTTGAAGAATAGACTGAAGTTAGCCAGTTCCAGTCCCAATCCAAGCTGTCATTTTCCCTGAGCCTCAGTTTCCTCTTCTGTGGAGAAAAATATATTGTAGGATGGTTGAGAGGACTGAATGAGCTCTTTAAAAATCACTTTGCAGTGCTTAATGACCACTGATTTATACTTCTCCCCTCAAATTACTTTAAAAATAGAAAAACACATTAAAATACCACAGTAAAACCATGCTCAGTAATTTCTAATTAATTTATTTCTTCTAAGTTCCTTCAATAATATTGGAGAAAATCAGGATAATATTCTAATTATAAAGGAAAAAAATTACTGCAGGCTTTGAATCATTATAGGAAGGCACAAAGAAGATAAACTTCCATAATCTGAATATTTTGACACATTCATTTCATTTTTCCCCTAACAGCCATTTAAAAAATAGAATTATATTGCCAGGTGTGGTGACCCATGCCTATAATTTCAGCAGCTTGGGAGGCTGAGGCAGGAGGATCACAGGTTCAAAACCAGCCTCACCAACTTATTGATGCCCTAAGCAACTTAGCAAGACCCTGTCTCAAAAAATAAAAAGGGCTGAGGATGTGGCTCATTGTTTAAGCACTCCTCATTCAATCTCCAGTACCAAAAAAAAAAAAAAATTATATCACATTTACTTCCTACTTTTTATTTCTATTAGATCATAAGCATTTTTGTTTTCATTAAATAATAATGATTTTGATTTCATAATTAATCCCAACTAATATATTATTGATTTTTCTTTTTGGCATTATAAACAAAACTTCAATGAAACATTTTCAGATGTTTACTGAATACATTGGAAACATCATCCCATCACTTGTCATATTCTTTCAAATTTTTTCCTACTTAAGACTTTAAAATTTKGGGTGGTGTTGCAGATTGAACTAGGAACTTATACATGCTAAGCATACACCAGACCACTGAACTATACGCCTAGCTCCAGCCTTCTAAATTTATGACGACTTGATATGATTTTATGTAACTATCACTATCAAATATTTCCTTGTGATCTTCTATTAGAGCTTACATGTTTAGAAAGTTCTTTTGTATTCCAAGGTGAGTAAATAATTTACTTATTTTTTTAAAATATTTTTTTAGGTATACATCAACACAGTATCTTTGTTTTTATTTTTATGTGGTGCTGAGGATTGAATCCAGGCCTCACCAGTGCAAGGCAAGCACTCTGCCACTGAGCCACAACCCCAGCCCATCCTATATTATATATTTTTTTCTTTTCTTTTTTTTATTGATTGTTCAAAACATTACAGAGCTCATGATATATCATCTTTCATACATTTGACTCAATTGGGTTTTGAACTCCCATTTTTACCCCAAATACAGATTGCAGAATCACATCTGTTACATACTCACATTTTTACATAATGGCATATTAGTGACTGTTGTATTCTGCTACCTTTCCTATCCCCTAC